TGTCTAACTAATTTGTTTGTTTATCGTTACTGGCAGGTATTGTCGTAATATTATGTACCTAGTCGTTGCGTGTTCTACTAATATAAGCTGAAGGGTTTGTTTGGACGCGTCAATCTCGGGAACTACTGGTTCGAATTACAATTTTTTTTTTTTATTAGAGCATTTATCAAAAAGGTTTAAGGCTATATAACATTACGCTGCGACCAATAGGAGCGAAGAAACAGCGGCGAATGTGGAAAAAAAAGGGGAAAATATAAATTAAATAAAAAAATTAATTCTTTGAGGGCTATTGTTGCGTGCGCTGCGTAAACGGTTCAAGAATTATGTACGAAAGAACGATTCTTCTTTATATGATGTGAACAAATGTCTACGATAGTATGTCTTTAAGATTAACGTTCAAGAACGACGGGACGCCGACGACGTCGTACGTATTACGTTTTTACAAAGATGAAGAGGTTAGCATAAACGAATTTTGCCCAATTTAAATGCCCAAAATAGTTGATGCGGCCGAAGTCGCGGCTACAGCTAGTAAAAAAATTATGAATCAGGCATAGAAAGAAAATGAAAATAAAATATACTTGTTCTCTTTAAAATTTTAAAGATTTGTCAAAAATGTTTGTCTGTCTGTCTGTCGTGATTCAACAGTGAAAAGGTCTTGTCGGTTGCGATTCCCTTCGTATCGTATAAAACATTCCTCTAAGTATCGGAGATAAGGCGTCTAGACGACACCACTCGAATACCAGCTCGATGGCTCAGAGACATTTTTTTTTAACACATAACCTCCTGCCACTTAGGAGGCGAATCAAATGGGCACACAAGCGATAGATACACGAGGCATTTAAGCCGTAACAGTTTAAAACGTCTTGAAGTTTCGTTTTGCGGAATTTATCGTTATCTGTGGAATTGGACAAACGTCAAAACTAATTTGAAACTGGCTTATCAGAATTTCTTATTGTTTTTTAAACAAATGAGGTTTTTAAAGTTATCGTCACTTACGGAGCTACGAAACTTTTTAACAGTTTAAAACGCGAACTATATTCGTTAAATTAAAACTGCGAATTTTGAATGCTGTACAAACATGCGAAACATCTGAGACGTAGGACCGTAAAAACGAAAATATTACGCGTTCAATACCGTTGAATAGTGTTTTTTTATTGTTTCTATTTCTGACGTCTTGTACAGATAGATTTAAACAAGAATGCTTAGGTAATACTCAAATACGAATTATAGTATAACAAACACGTAAAAGAATAACGATTAATACATCTAATTTTTCATATAGATTTACTGTCGCAACTGTTCGACAAATTTGTAGTGAGGTTTAAAAATAAAACTATTTAAAGTTGTTCCCTTTTATAATGATATATTTCAGCATAAATAAGAGAAATCTGTATTAACATCAAAATTCCAACAAATTGATTGTTAAGGATAAATTGTATAAATCAAACGTGTAGCCAATAAAGTACAGCGCCCCCTAGAGAGCGTTCGCGGATGAGGAATGTCCGAGCGTCGCGCGCGCAGCGAAATATTCCACTTTTACGTGATTGCATTATTTTGATTTTATGAGATATTATAAAGATACAGTTTTCTGTTTATATAAGGCTTTTTGCGAATGGCGTGTGTATAAGTTTAAATCCTTGACACGTTTAATTAGTATTTACATATTTATTAAATAAGTTTATTATTTAAAAAAACTATATTTTTTTAAACATTGGTCTATTAAAGAGACAAATTTACACAAAACATTTTGCTTTGACTAAGATGTATGCTTTCAACTACCACCACCTAGAATGATACTAACGCATTCTCATGCGTTCTTAATAAGTTTAATTATAAATTTATATACCTTTTGTGTAAGCGTATTACTTACTGTCTATAATTTACGCGAGTAGCACACATTTAAATAAAACACTTTAACGGTTTAAAACGCGATATATTAGTTAAACTTATTAGAAAATGATTTTTAACTTCGACCCGATGTTTCGGATGATTTGCAGCAGCCGTGGTCACGGGGAGACTCATTTTCAAATAAGTTAAACTAATTTATCGCGTTTTAAACCGGTAAAGTGTTTTGTTTAAATAAGCGTATTACAATTTTATTCCCAATCTTAAGTACGGTTGTTAAAATGGAATGATTAAAAACGGACCCAATACAGTATTCAATTGTAACACATATTCATTCGTATTAATTATTTTATTGTTCGTATGTAATTTGTGTGTAAAAGCAAGGAATTAAGTTTATTTCAAAGGATGAAAGCGCTCGTGACCGACGCCTTATGTTGGAAATTACAAGGACTATGATAAATGCGGAGATCTTTCTTCTTATAAATGCAATTCGAGTTGAACAACTCGACGATTTATATAGCAATGTTTTCGTTCACTATTGAATGGTCAAATAGATTATATTTTATAGGAAGCTACTTTCGTGACGCGACTATGTCAAATCATATTGGCGTTCGTACTTTGGTCGAAGAAATTAAGTAAAAATCGACCAGTTTAATAAATAAAGAATATTTATCCAAAGTTGACAGGCTCGTTGGTCTGATGGTAGCCATGGCCAATAACAGGTTGTGGGTCCGATCCCAACCGGGTCTAACATAGTTCTTATACATTTTTAATTTTTCTTATTCCTCGTTGGCACATATTAAATGAGTAGGTATCGAAATATCGTCCGGGTCACGAACCGGCTACACGGCTTTTTCACGGACGGTCCACTAATGAAAAGCCGTGAAGTTTCTTTTGTAATCGCTACCGCCATAACGTCGGGTCGTTGAAAATGTTTATTTCGAGTTAGACCGTTAAAAATCTTTTATACAATATTTATTTCGAGATACAATTGTTAGAAGTGATTTTAGCTATACTGCATTTGTTGCAGGTGTAACCTACTATTTGCAACAAAATAAAGCATCATAACCTACTTGTCACACACTTGTCAAACATTAATATAAGAACGGAAAAGTAAATGAAAATGTCCTTTGAAGACGAGCAAAGCGCTCAAACAGAGGAGATAAAAGCAATCATATTGACGCACGTAACAGATTATTTGAATTATTTTGTGCATACACAAAATATATAATTAAACTTAGTATAAATCATTGTTTTTGTGATGTATAAATGTGGGTAGTTTACAAAATGTTTAAAAAGTAATGTTCGTGATATTCGATGACGTCCGTCTAACACTTGGTTGATTGTTTGTCGATTGTTGTAAAAGGAGTATAAAAGTGTTTTTCATATTATAAAACAGTCGCTTTTTCTATCCCTATCTACGCTTAAATCTTTACCATTTAATAGGAAGCGGAAGGTTTTTATATACAACTTTCATAGGTTTTCTGTAGTGTATTCAGTATCAGCATTGCACCAGAGCGAAGTCGGGGCGGGTCGCTAGTTATAAATAATAATGAAGAATTAATTTTAACTCGAATAAAGAACGCATTGAGGTTAAGAATCCATTATTTGTATTGAAAGGTAAATGATAATAATTTTTAATTATTGCTCTTTGTAATCGCAACTCAACGCCATCTGTTATGTTGGATACTGACAAGAAAATTACATCCATTTGACGATTCGTTGCGTTGTAAACCGGTTTACAAACAAATGATATTTTAAAAGTGTAAACAATAGCTTTGAGATGGAAGTTAGGATTTTATATCTATATTATGTTAATATAATATTAAATCCCCTTTCCCCCTCGTGAGGCATGGGGCGAACACATTTCTATGTCCGTTTCACTGATCCGTTGAACAGGCAAGTAGTTGATCAGACGCCTTACCTGCCAGACCGAAGCAATTTTTTGTTTCCCTGGAATTCGAACCCAGGACCTCTCGCGCTTAACGCAATGCTAGGCAAAACGTTTAACCATTTGGCTACAGAGGCGGTCATATTATATTGATAGTCAATTCTACTATTATCATTTGGAGGGGGTAAGAGGGGGGGCTGATTTATAATACTTATGTCAATGGGATCGTGCCTAGAATACTAATTTTAGGTACCTACGAGTGAAATCGTCTCTCTAGCTAACTGCTGAACAGATTGCCTAGTATTGCGTTAAGGGCGAGGGATCCTGAGTTCGATATCCGTAAAACGATGTTTGCATGGGACAGGGCACAGAAGTCTGTCAACTACAAGCGTGTAAAACAAACGATCAGCGATCACAGTAATGTGTTCGCTTCAATGGGGGAAGGGGGGTTAGAAATTAATAAAAAAAAATAAAAATAAAAACATATTTTTTTGTAAAATGTCCAATTAAGACGTCCCATGGTTATTGCATAGTATTACAATTAACACCAGCCACACTCCCAATCCATACAAGGGTCGCAAACATTTTCCGATTGGGGTCGACCCCTCAATGCCGCCCCTCCAATGAAAAGTATAACAAAAGAACGAGTCGAGCCGAATGGCGAATTAGGCCATTGTGGATACGAGAAATATGAATAACTTATTCAACATGAAGGGTTAACCCCGACACACCGTGATTATGTTGTTATGGGGTAAATATTTACCGTTAGGTACTGACAAAGACATTTTATCGGTTTTGACAAATTGGCCTAGGAATAGACAGTAGTTTGTGTTGGGTAGTAATTTTTATAGAGTGTTAATTAGTAACTTCCTAATACCAACGATATGGTTTTTTTTAATACTGTCTAATTTACGCGTTTAGTACACTTTTAAATAAATCACTTTAACGGTTTAAAACGCGATGTATATGAGTTAAACTTATTTGGAATACGGCCCGACGTTTAGGATGCTTTGCAGTAGTCGTGGTCACGGGGAGACTAGTTAAAATAATTTCGAGATTAGTTCAACTAATATATATCGGGTTTTAAGCCTTAGTTAAGTTAAGTTACTTAGATTGATTTTTGTTTTCCTTAAAATAATTTTTTTTACATAATATGTATTTAGAAAAACGAGTTTTTTATTTACAAAACTAGTAAACTTTATACTGAATTGATTATTTCTTATAGGAGTAAACCGTTACGACAGCGGCAGTCATATTTAATTTATCAAACCTGTGGGGCGTCCTATGAGTCACACATATTTTTCAAAGGTAGGTAGAACAATTGTGCAGTTTTTATTACTTAACATTGGAAATCTGTTTATCATTATTTCTTGCCACACTGTCTTCTTCCTCTCTTCATTCTCTTATACCAGGAAACTATAAAAACGACTTACCTGACGGACCTGCTTATACTGTTCTTCGAAACTCCAACCAGCCGCGCTCCCCTCAGATGAAGATGACGATGCTGATCCAGCTGGCTGTGCTGGAGGAGGTGGGGCAGGAGCCAAAAATGCCGGAGGAGCATACGGAAAACCAGGTCCACCTCCTGCTAGAGCGAAAACGCTGCTAGGAGTAGATAGAGGAGCTCCTTGAGCGAGCGAAGCTAGAGATGATAAGTGTGGATGCAGCGATGTCTTCAGGGATTCGAAGTCATCTCGGACCTGGGAAATTTAATTTATTAGCAATTATGCAGATATAGACATCCTATTTGATGTTAAGAAAGCTATTTTGATATTGACGCTAAATGAAAACAATGAAGGTGGTAGTACTAGAATACTAGTCGAGAATAATTTTATTAATCAAAATAAAAACATCAATAGTAAACAGTCACAACTTAATTGTCCATTTTTTATATCCAAGTTTATGAAGCCACTATGTGTTTGAAACTATTCTAAGTGTTACAAACCTAGCCAATTTAGTATTTTAATTCATTGCAAAATTACTTTATGCCTTCAAAGAACTTAAGAAACTTTAGGTAAATTTTAAAAAGAGCGACTTAATTTTATTTAAATTCAAATCGTCGAATGACAGCTTTATTATATTACAAAGACAATTAGGTTGGTTTTGCTTGTAGTTCACGCGAATAATTAATTAAGACAATTTAAACGGTTAAAACGCGAAATGTATAAGATGAACTTATTTTTTTTTTAAACTTTGTGTCACTAATATATCGCGTTTTAAACCGTCAAAAATGTTTAATTCAAATGGCTACAGGCTGTTAAATCTACCTTGATCTCTCTCTCCATGGGTCTCGGCGAGTTTCTCTGGTGCGGGTGGTTCAACTGATTTAACTGCTGGTGGTTGATGGCGTGATGGCTCAGGTTGTGCTGATGCGGGTGTGGCATGGGCGGGTGCTGCTGATGTTGTTGGATGCTCGGCGCGTCTCTGCCAACACCCTCATCAGAGCTCTCGCAAGACTGTTCACCAGACGACTCGCCTTCGGATCGGGCTGACTGTAAGAAGGAACGTGGGTTAGAAATATAATCGTTCAGCCGTTCAGGTGTAAAAATATAAAAGATGCAAACATTGTGAGACTTTTTTTGGGTTTCGAGCGAAGAGATTCGTTGGGTAAGTGAGCCTTCAGTCTATATAACGATATTTACATGAAATTATTACAAGTGATTTGCTTTACATGTAGTTGGTATATTAGAATTGATATTAGTAATATATCAAACATTTTTAACGGCTCAGAACACAAAATTTAATTGATGGCTTCAGCTGCTCTAAAGCATCCTCATAATGTCCTTAAGGTATTGAGCTATAAGCTCAAACTTGTCGACAGAGGATGGTTTAAGCTGCAAGAATATTATAACAAAATCGAACCAGTTATAGTTCTACATAATCTTGGACATAATGAGAATGTTAAGTGTCCCTTTGTAATTGCAGCCAATTGGTAACTGGCAGGTGACTAGCTTCAAGATTCGCAATTACACATAAATGTCGCGACGCGTCATGCGATTCCGCAAAAGTATTTAAAATTGTACCTTAAGTTTTGTCTTTAATTAACGCGAATATAATATATAGCAATGGCTAATAATAAATAAACAGTCTGTATATTATTTAAAAATCGAAAATGAATAGTAAAAATTTTCGACTCGGGCAGGACTTGAACCGGCATCGTCAGCGTTCCGTGCTGTTGCTCTGAACGCTGACGATGCCGGTTCAAGTCCTGTCCGATTTTTAAATAGTATAGTGCCTATAATATAAAATGAAGTTTTCAATTCGTTTATTGTTACACAGTACAAATCAAACAACTGCAATGTGTAATTTAAAAACTTATGAACTAAATTAAAATAATGAAAAAAGTACCTTTTTTAATGTTGTGCTAAAAGTCGCTACTTTTTCCCCTGTCCCTTATCAGATAACATGTAGTACCAAAAATGTAAACACATGGAAAAGTTGGCACGAATTAAAAAATATATAATTATGACGTATTTTAATAGCAGCACGAATGCACAACTATTGCGTAACCATAGCGACGCAGGTTATATCCCCACTGGGTCAATAATGTGACTAATACTTTAAAAACGTTCTGAAACACATTGGGCGTCATCTGGTTAATAGCTGGTGGTAGGAGTAACAAAATATATCACTCAACGGTTTAAAACGCGAAGATACCCTTATCAATATACTGGGTGCAATTATAATACACACCGCCGGCAAATCTCAGGAAGTTTAAAGCAAAGCAATAAATTTACTAGAATTGAAATCAAAATGAAACAATTGAATTATGATAACAATGGATTTCTATCGAGAGAGAATTGTTTTGTTGAAATTTGTTTGTTTATATTTAATTACCGGTTGTATGTACTTTGAATCTATAGTCTATTGCCAATAATTTAATTATACCTAATTGTTTGCACCGAAAATGCAGTGCAACACTGTAAATACCATATTCATTTTAGACTAGCTGTAGTGGCAACTTTGTCCGCGTTAAATAGTTATTTTCAAAATTTTATTTTAAAAGCCTCCTCCTATCTTTATAAATTTCAGCTGATAACCACAACGTCGTTGCGTACCTTCGTTCTTCCAAATTCATATTAAAAGATAGACATATACTCTCGTTATGGTTTTTTAAAGAACAATAATTCTTTCAACCATATTTTTGGGTATTTTAAACTTCTTTTGCAGAGCACGGAACGGAAGCCCTGAAAAATGTAGAATTTACCCCCTTTTTCCACATTTCCCCCTCTTTCTTCGCTCCTATTAGTCACAGCGCTATGTTTTATAACCTATATATATATAGCCTTCCTCGATAAATACTCTAACACAAAAATAATTTTTGAATTCTAATCAGTTCTTAAGATTGGCGTGTTCAAACAAACAAACTCTTCAGGTTTATATATTAGTATAAATAAGTACTGTCTTCTCTTCGCATCGTTAACGATAGCATTAACTAGTTAACGTAAATAAATCTTAAATTTTCATAACTTTAAGAAACTTTTAAAAAATGTAAAGTCAAGTAAGTTGCCATATGCTAAATTCATCGACGATTACGACGCCCTCTAGACGATTTTCGAATTTTCAATACTTCGCGATAAGCGTACGGCATATGGCAACCACTGTAACACCTGAAGGCTCTCATTACCAAGTTGTTTCTTGCGGTAAGAATTACGATAATGGATTCACAAAGCCAACTGATATAATGATTTTACGAAGCATGCTTTAAAACAATATTTCGCAAATAGATATTTTATATTTCATACTAGCTGTGCCAGGGACTTCGTCCGCTTATAATAGTTATTTTAGGTGTCAAAATTTGCGAACTTCCTCCTCATTACAGCTGTTACCCACGAAAGATCACAATAATAATTACAACCATATTCTATCGTAGGTAATCCGACCGTCGATAAAAGTGACAAAAAACGTCACTTCTGCAAGTTCTGACTTCAAAATAAACATCACTGAAGAAAATTTTTAAATAACTACCAAAGCTCGGCTTTATCGACAGTTTGACCAGCCAGTGAACGTTTTGTATTATTTAAATAAAACACAATTTTAACCGTTTCAAAAGTGAAATATGTGAGTTACATTTATTGACGATTTCTTTTAAATACGGCTCGTCGTTTCAGAGCATGCAGTGTGCAGTAGCTATAGTCACGTGGAGCCGGGGTTTAAATTATAAATTAATAAATACATTTTGCGGTGTTAAAGGTAAGGTAAAAAGTGTTCATTCAAATGTGCACAGCTCGCGTAATGATAGACTACTTAGGTCTATGTTATGCTGATATATAAGCACCAGCAAACCCAGGATTATGGTCCGAGAAAATTGCAAACAACAAAACGCAATGAAAACGCGAAAATTCCGCGAACTTCCTCATTAAACGAGCCGATATAAGCAATATAAGTTATAAGAAAAGTGGCCGCCCGCGGCCCACCATTACGGCATTAAAATTATCATTTTATTTCGATTTTTATTTATATTCGCATTATTATATTGTGTGGAGTTATTATGGGTGAAATGTTTCGTTCGGATAAATGCACCACTCCGAGCGTCACGCAATCTCGATCTCCTGTTTTGGGGTTCCATTTCAAGTGAAGTTTTAAATTTTTATTGTTCTAGAACAAAGCTATCTTCAAGTAGAAGTTTGTTCAAATTGTATTTGTCTATAAGAGATGATGCAGAGTTTTTTTTTTTAAATATAAACTTAATAAATATAATCTATAGCAATGTTTAACTACTCTTTTTGCACCTTACCTACTCACTCTTATATTGTATCTATGGTTAACAGAGCCATAGTCAACATTTTGTTAAGTGTTAAATATGTATATTTTTACACTTAACAAAAATTAATTACCTTTTATTAAAATAGTATCATGACTTTTATAATTAAGTAATTATAAGCTACTTGCGCATTAGCATAAGTTAAGTGAATGTATATTCTTCTGGTAATAAATAACTAAACCTGAAATACTAATTAAAACAATCAAACAATCATACAATTTCCTTGATGTATGAATAAAGATACAACTAGAAACAATAATTTAATATACATAACTACTTGTGGAAACTTGTAATTGTATCTCTATTATTTTACCGTCCACTCTATTTGTTAACAGTCAGTTAGAAATAGAGATAAATAAATTCCAAAAATCATATTCTTCCAAATAAATAATTTCAATCCAAGATAAAACAAACCGAATCCTACAGAACCCAATGATTTGAGGGAATAAATTTGTTTAGTGATTAAAATACACGACTTTCTCATGGTTTCCAATGCTACTGGATTCCGTCTGTTTTTTGGGATGGCAATTTTATATAAACGTTTAATCGATGCGTTCCTATAAAGCTATACTGATTTAATGGGGGACAAACGAGTTATTAAGGATATATTATAGCCATGCATATTATATTACGTGTACCTCAAATCAAATAAACACATTTTTGCGTCCGTTAACTTTTATTTATGGTAGAGAAAGACATACAAGCATGAAGTTCACAGGACCTACTTTGGCTTTGGATATTCGAAAATCCACAGATTCAAACTGAAACACAATTAGGCAACTTGACGGCTTTTTCATCTGTGGAATACGGTTAGTGACCCGGACTGAATTTCGTTGGTAGGAATGCCATCTAATCAATTTCCAGATAAAGTCCAACATCAGAAACATGTAAGATCAGGTATGGATCGAATCCACGATTCGTTAGTTATTAGCTAGTTATTATTAGTTAGCTATATCAATATTGCTATTATACAAAGTGGTTCGTCAATAACTGATGATGTTTTATTTACAAGAACAGTTGTTCAATTTTTGCGACTCATTCAGACCGGTTCGTTCTGGAGATATTGTAGTTGACAGCTGATTTGACAGAACAGTGGTATATAGTGGCATATATCTAATATATAAAATTCTCGTGTCACAGTTTTCGTTGCCGAAACGGCATGACCGATTTTGAAATTTTCTGTTCTTATCCGATATCTATGAGAATCGGCCAACATCAATTTACCCCCCCCCCCCCCCTCTAAATGGTAGGGGTAGTCCACCTCTAATTTTTTTATTATTTTTTAAACAAACTATTTAATTTTATGATACAACATACAAAAATACATACAATCCTCAATTTTCACCCTTCTACGATAAACCCTTATTTTTAATAGCCATTCTAGTAAAATTATTTATATGTCAAAACAACGTTTGCCGGGTCAGCTAGAATCAGTCAGTCAGATAAATTAGAAAGCGATTATAGATTTAAAAAATAATTTCGCCACGGGCAAGACTTGAACCGGCACACCGCAGTGCTGTCGCTCAAACCAACTGAGTTACCGTGTACTTTTTTATCTTAACCGAGATAGCCAAGTGAGGACAAACCTTAGCTCAAACAATGCTAAACTCAAACCAAATACAGTTTAGCTATGTGCCTTTGTCGAAATTCCAAGCGTGATTTTATAATTTAACATTAACTGTTTGGTATTTATTTAGCTGATGAAAAGTGACTACGCGAGTCAATACA